CGAAGCATCAACGAAGAAGAACGATTCGACAACGCGTGAGAGTGTAATATGGAGGATGCTGCGTAGGATGCGAAAAAGCAAGTATGTCATAGCCAGGTCTGGGCAAGTACAGCCCGCGGCGGTGCTGTGAGCAGGCGTCACACGAAAGCGGCGCCTTTGGCAATCTCCGACCGGCAGCAAGTCTGGAGAAGGCATGCGACCCACGACCCACGACCCACGACCGACCCACGACCCGGGCGGATAGCGACGCCCCTTTTCCCCAGTGTAAGTACCAAGCCAGGGTCTCGTCTGATGCAGTAGACTGGCGCAGACGTTTTTCTGTTTTCCAATTGCACTGCCGCGTTTTTCCCCTCCCACAGTACTGGAGCCGCTGCACCGCCCAAATCGCAATTCCGACATCCTCGCCGCTGCACATATTTTGGATATATTGTCGCAGGGGGTCGTATCGACCGCACCCCTTCATTTCGCTTTACCCGCCACTATTCTTGCCCGGGACAGATTCCATGACCAGGACCCGCGTCGCACATCATGAGCGATGAGGCCGTGAACCCCTCTGGCCACGCGGCAGTGGAGCCGTACGAGGCCTCGAATCCGCTTGCGCCTGTACTCTCGAACCCTCAAAGTACACTGTCAGCAAAAGGCACGGCGTCGCGCTCATGGCTGGCCAACGTCCGCCGACCGCGCACTTCGCCAGGACCCCGCGCATTTTCTTTGAAGCGCACGCCGCCACACGGAGACGATGATGATCGCAGAGATTCTGCCCTGGCCTCGTCCAGCGGCACCATCGTGAACGAACCGCCTTCACCAAGGAGTCTGCGCAGGACGCCAAGCCTGCCGGCAATTGTAATTCACGACGAGCGCTCATCCAGGACAGGACATGCACACGACGAAGACGACGACGCTGCTTTTTCCCGGCTCGAATGCATCATCCCTACCGGCGGCTTTGACGACATTTCCTCGGACGCGCTGATATCTTTTTCGAAGCGGGGCAGCATGATGTTGGGTGGCAAAAGGGCAAACAGGAAGAGTAGGCAGATGGATTTGCTTGTGGAAGGCGCGGCCACACCGAGTGCGCCACTGCGACAGGAAGAGGAAGTGGTGAAGGAGGAGGAAGAGGTGAAGGAGGAGCAGGCGGAATCACAAGAGCAAACACAGCGAGCGTCACAAGAGCAACCGCAATCCACCTCCACCCAGATGCAGCAGGAGTCCCCGCACCCCCCACCCCCCACTGCGAGACTCCTCTCCCCACGAGCAACCTCTCGTGTCTCCGGCAGATCACGATCCATAAGCCACCGTGTTCTTTCCGCGGATGAGATGACGTTGTCGCGCAAGGTGCGCTGCATGTACATGCACGGAAACGAGAGCGCCGTCAACTGGGATGCGCCAGAGGAAGACAGCAGGAGCATTCAAAATAGTTATCGTGGTAACAGCAGTGTCAACAACACGGCCATGGAGGTCATCGAGGACGATAGTTCCCTTATGAGCTCGAGGCGCGGTAGCGTCATTGTCAAAGAGCCCACTGAGGCTGCTGGTGGGCTGGAGGATTGGGCTGATCTCGAGGGTGGCGAGGTTGATCGATATGGCTTCATTATTCCCAAGAGGTCGAGGTCAAAATCAAACAGTGAAGGCATAGACGGCCCCGACGAACCGCACATGCAACGAGTCACCACCACGCTGCAGCTACTATCTGAAGAGCCCAGGCGTCGCCGATTAGGCCGGAGTGTCTCACGCGCGCCTTCCACCAAGTCTGGCGGTCCTCGAGCCGGCTCGCTCAAACGACGGTTTTCCGGCAGGTCTTCCAGGCCCGCTAGATCTATCTTCTCTGGAAAGACATCGGACTCCCATACGACTTTCAAGCCTTTGCGCCATGCTGCAAATAAACTACCTCACAACCGCGACCGCCGATTGAGAGACGAAGCAAGCGATATGCTTAAACTACCACCAGGCTTGGCTGAGGTTGCCGAACAGAAGGAGGGCGGTAGGACTGCCCGAGCTATGAAGGCAAAGGAAATCGAGCGGAACGAAAAATGGCGCAAGATGGCAAAGGTTGTCAAATCAGGTGCAGACAAGGGCGGCATGCTCTTCGAATTCGAGACCAAAGACCCCAAAGTTATATCTCGCACGTGGAAAGGTATTCCCGATCGCTGGAGAGCGACTGCATGGTACTCCTTCCTGGCTGCAAGCGCCAATGCGGATGCCGACAGTCCAACTGAGGAGGAGCTTATTGTCAATTTTTATGAGCTTCAAGAAGAAGGCTCCGCCGACGACGTCCAGATCGATGTTGATGTGCCACGTACCATCAACAGGCACATCATGTTTCGACGCCGATATCGTGGTGGACAACGATTACTTTTCCGTGTGCTTCACGCAATGTCATTGTATTTGCCTGAAACGGGTTATGTTCAAGGTATGGCCTCGTTGGCGGCCACGCTTCTATGCTATTATGAAGAAGACCGAGCATTCGTGATGCTCGTCCGATTGTGGCAGCTTCGGGGCATGGAGAGGCTCTATGAGGCAGGGTTTGAAGGCCTCATGGAGGCTCTTGAAGATTTTGAGCTCAACTGGCTGCGCGGAGGTGACATTGCGCAGAAGCTGGTAAGTCCAAACCCACAACACAGCATCATGGCATATCAGCTGACATAACATTTCACAGACAGACTTGGGCATCACATCAACCGCATACGGCACGCGATGGTACCTCACTTTATTCAATTACTCGTTACCGTTTCCAGCACAACTCCGGGTTTGGGACGTATTCATGCTGTTGGGTGACAAGTCCCACGCTACTACACCAGGATCCAAGTTCAGCGCAGATATGGATGTCTTGCATGCTACATCGGCTGCGCTCATCGATGCAACACGAGAAATCCTGCTTGATTCCGACTTTGAGAATGCCATGAAGGTCTTGACATCATGGATCCCGATTAAAGACGAGGATCTGCTGATGCGGGTAGCCAAGGCAGAATACAAGATGAGGAAGAAACGAGCCAATGCCTGACGTAGGCGGTTCCAAGGACATTGCGACGGAAGCGCCCACTTCAGGCTTTGCGGGCGCATTGCGATTTGAAGGGTGATGGTGCACCGAAGATAGAAACGCTTCCTGTTGAACCCTCACCCACGCCCTTCCATGGCCTTTTCCAGAAGCTACGGGGTCGATCTCTTGGGATCGGTGGCGCGCAAATCTCAACGTGGCTGGCACGTTTTACGTTTTCCAAGGTTTTGCAACACAAGATACCTTTTGCTTTTTTAGTGGGATGCCGCCCACTTTAGCCGCGACACATCACTTCCTGTTTACCCTTTGGGCGTCTTTTAGCGGTGCCGCCCGAACGACGCTGCCACTCCACTGGTATCAAGGATGGCTCAGTTGCCCACCGTCGGGTCACGGTCTGGACATGGATGATTCTGGGAGAACGTTTTCCCAGGCCTTACCCTTTTGAGAGGGGGGCTTTGGTGTTTGGCGCACGGCTGCGATGATTACTGATCAAGATACCTCTTGTGTTTTTCTTTTTTGTTCCTTCTTTTCCAGGTCTGTTTACGCATCCCTATCAATATACCAGAGACGGCGTTCTTTCTGCAAACGGCATAGGGAAAGCATTGCATTTTTTGCATATATTCATGTATACCCAATATAATCTAGGCTCTGCAGGTAGCCAAATAATACATAACTAGTTGATTACGCTATGCAAGCTGAACATGGAGATGCTGGTGAAAAGCGACTAATTGGTAATGATTATGGAAGGCAATATTTCTTGATTGAGAGCGAACGGGGGTTGGTGGCTTTATTGATAACTGGCGTATTAAACATTGTCGACACATGGATCGGGAGATTATCCGATAGGAAGAAGGGCAATAAGAGGACTGAAGCTGTTTGGGCTGAGTGTTTGGAGTAATTGCTTGGCTCAGGAGAGTAGAGTTTTGAGCTAGAGATGAGAGGGGCAGTACCTCCGGGAACGCTGCCAGGGGAGGCGGATCGAAGCGAGTACGCGAGAACGTGTGTGAGCGTAGTGTTTGGCTAATGAGGCATATCAAAGGGGGTGGTTGAGGGAAGGGGATTGATACGAGCGGCAATTGGAGAGGGTGGTGTACATAGCAGATGCGCCAACGAGCGAGGGTTTGCGAGGGGGGTGTCAAGCCACAAAGAGTAAAAGTTGCGGGCTGGGTGGTGGTGGCATGGCGGGTGGAAGATGAGGCAATACTTACTATTACATGGCCGTACGTAGACTTTACTCCAACTCCAACAACCTTTCGACACGCCGTCGAGGCATGTGCAACCGGAGCGGCAGAGTGTTGGGAATGCGGTGCCGGCAACAATGACGACAGGCGACGGGGAATGGTGGAAAGCTGCCCAAATAGGCAATCAGGGATGCTCAGGTTGACTTGGGTGGCAAACTGCCGCTAGCACTTTCCCGATGAACTCCTTCGCCTCCCCACTGCCTGCGCCCAACTTTGCCTCCCCAACCACCGTTTTCCGATCCCAACTACGTGGCCGCGTCGACGACGAGCATCAATGTATCGGCTACTCCGAGCACAAACTGGCAGAAGCTGCGCCTCGCTTTCATTCATGGGTACCAGAGCCGGTCAAGATGCAACTTCAGAGCACGCCGACGCTGATCTGTGGTCTGATTTTCTCAAAGGTGAAGCAAAGATCAGCGCTCCTTGGCTCAATTTAGAAGCGAACCAGGTAGACGCGGATGAGGGGGGGAGGGGGGTGCAACAGCCGTCCCGCAGCTGCACTACGTCCCTTGCTAGGTGAGGTGAGGATAGGGAAGGCCAAGCGACAGCCAGCGGTGCAAGAGTAGCAGCTTCGGAGCCTATGCGGCGAAAGACTAGCCGGCCCGTGTAAGCTCCTTCACATCTGGATACGCTAATCGATCTGACTGGGGTGGCCAGCGAGACGGTTCTCAGATGCGGGAGACGAATGATCGACGTCTGAGTTGCAGCTTACGTGCACTGCACAGCATCTATTTCCCCCGTTGTCCGCCTCACCCTGCCTGTTACCCATGGATGCCGTAGCAGCAGCGGCAGCTTTTCGCGGCATCCCCTGTTTCCGACCCCCGATGCCTTGGGCGGCGGCTTGCTACAGAGTACGAGTAGTGTACACACTACATTCTCCTTCTTGCTCAAACAAAACAAAACAACATGCGACTGCAAGCCTATTGTTTGCTCACGCCTCATGGCCTGATTGGCACTCATGTCGCAGCATCAGCAGCAGCAGCAACATCAATCGCCTTTCGGGTTGCCCTGTCGGCAGATGTGGTCGTCTTTCTTTATCGGTGAATTGCCCCCCCCTCCTTCGAGGCTTTCAAAGTCGTCTTCAAGCACATCGATACACGTCACACATACGGGCTCGGTACGAGACAGCTGTCAGAGCTATGACTGCCATCTTCCGCCCCGCGGTTCTACCGGATCCTTGCCGTGCACTCTTTGAAACCCTCCCTTTGGCCGGGCTCACACGTGGGTGTGTAGATACTTAGACACAGACAGGTCGTCATCTAGGATGATTTACTGAAAACAGCTCTACTCTACTCATATGGTAGCGTCCTGGTCGAGAAATTGTCGACTCAATCTAGACTACAGAGACTGCTCTCCACTGTCATTTCTGCTTACGCAGTACAGTCACGAGCAATTTCGCCATGGTGTCCCCATTTCGACTGTTATGATGATAATCACCAGGGCAGATTGCGGGTGATTGGTTGGGAGACTAGCCAGCCGTCGCCGGAAATCATACTCAAAGATCCTTCGTACAGATCCGGTGCGCCGCGAGTTTCACGTAGATCCGCTGCATGGCCCGAATAAGCATAGTCTCAGCGCCGACGCGGAAATTTACGTCTCGAGGCGATCGTTCGAGCTGGTGCCAGGCGCCCGGGCATTGCGCAACGCCGCATCTGTTGACCCGTCCCTTTGTCCATCGTGGCTTGCAAGCTGTCATCTGCGACCTTATTACGTGCTATAGTGGGAACTCGCCGTCAGTGCTGCTGGCGTTCCGCTATTCCAAGTAGTCAACTCCACCTACCGGAACGGAGGGGCGCGCACGATCAAAAGATCCCCATTTTTGCTTCATCCACCCAAGTCCAGCTCCAGGTAGGTGTACATTTCGACACCCTACCCTAGATCCTGGATCGCGTGTCGGAGCGCATGGTCACCATCCTTATCGATTGGGCCATAATGATTGTCGGGCTTTGTCGATCCGGAGGGGTCACCCCAAGACTGACAGGTTCAGGCCGGCGCCTTTTTTCGTACCACTTTTGTCTGTGCTAGTCATCAAACTGTGCTCAGCCGTTAACGCTACGACGGTATCTGTATACTTGTTCGGGCATTACACTAAGCTCGGAACGGGTGCTGCAGCTGGGCCACAGGATACTATGCTTCCACCAATTCCAAGGTTTCGTGCTCATGCACGGAGGCTCTTTTGAACACGAAGCCCTCATTTTACGCTTCCCCTTCGGGTTATTATCTGGCTGAAGACGTGACGACGGAGATGACCCTTCATTTCCTCATCATGCCATGTGGGCAGCCTTGGAAGGAGCCAGGCCACAGCAACCTCTGCAGCGGTAATCTTGCGCTCGCTTCCTCCCGGACGTTGACCCTGCTGGTTGGTGTTAGCGCACGGCTCAGACTGCAAAGGCCGCGCCAGTCAGTCCACATCACAATCCTTGAGCCGCGGCGCCCACAGATGCATGTGCCATGAAGGAAGTAGCGATGGACGTGTTCCAGAGCAGAGTGGCACGCCAAACTACCTAATTCGTACGGTATGCGATTTCAAGTGGGCGCGACGTCAAACAAATCGAAGCCCAACACCCGACAAAAAGAATAGAACCGCTCTGCACAAAAGCCAGATTTAGGGCATTCCCGGTACCACGTATACATAGGTCTGCTATGTCGCAACTTTTCAGGGCTCACGTCCTGTCGTACATAGCGCAAAGCAGAGACACGTCGTGTGCATGTGTATGTGTGTACGTAGAGGGAACCATGTATCGTATCGCCCTTATACTACCTTGCCATGGACGAGACCAGGGTAAAAGAATGGGGCCAGAGTCACGGTAGCCGCTATGCCAGGCCGGTGTGTCTAGCGAGAGTCGGATGTACGAGTACATAATGTCCAACTACCACTGCCTAGTGCTGAGCTGAGTATGTGGTATGCTTGGCTGGCAGCGGGACATGTTCCTGCGGCGAATTCCAGCGCCACATGTGGGAACCACTACCAGAGTTTGCATCAAAATGGAGGCCTTTTTCAGGCGTGTTGCATGGTGGGACTAAAAGTACGCGCACTGCAGTTCCAGCAACAGTGCATTCGCTGACAACCATTTCTTTCCATGCATATCCTTGCTAAGTCCCCTACCCTCCATCACCTGCAGAACGCCACACATCGGCTTTCCTTGACGTACGGCGTGCCGTTTCTCTGTGCTGCTCTCAAGCCTCTGGCGCCGTCATTGCCGTCGGTTGGCCCGACTCCAGTCGGTCCTCTTCCCTTCTTGCACGCCATTCCCCACCGCTGCGCACTTTCCTTCGTCTGTCTCTAATCTGGACCGGATCGACCGCGCCAGCCCACGCGACCATTTACGGGGGGGGCTTGATCTTCTTTGCATCGAGCTTTGCCCGTTACCCTCCCTTCTCTTTCCCTGTGGCCCTGTCATAATCACGAATCAGATCGAGGCTCCCGGACCAGGGGACATATTAAGCCTAGGCTCTGAGGCAACGGCTACTGATCTCATCTTGGGTCATGTGGACAGTGCTTCTAGTGAACATGCTCCTGGCGAAATAAGTATGTACACCATTCCTTCTCCTTCCGGAACTTAAAATTTCTGGCGCCACCCAAAGCGACTCATTTCAATGCCGGACTGCTCTCACCATATCCTCCGCATCGGCTCCACCTTCCTTCATGTTGCTCACACTCTCTAATCCAGTCAAGCCCGACTTCGACTTCAAACCTCATGCATACTCTGCAGCCTTTTCATCTTCTACAGCTACTCGATACTCTGACAAGCCCCACGGCGGGTCGCCTCTCTCACAGTCCGCCAATTCTTCTCACACGATGAGCACGCCTCACAGGGGATTGCCCCCTCCCTCGGCAATGACCCTGCCAGATCCGGCGAGAGGACCTCCACCAATATCTTCCTCACTGGGCCAATTACCTCCGGCTCCTTCTCAGTGGCAAGGCGCCGAAGATGGAATGAAAAACTGGTTGGCGACCAAAGCTGAAGAGGAGAGACGCAAGCAAGAGGAGGAGAAGACAAGACAGGAAACTTTACGGCTTGAGCAACGAAAGGTTGAACAGTCAATGCTTCGAGAATCTATGCAAGGCGGAGTACCGCCTCATCTAGTGCCTATAATATTCGCCGGCATTGGCGGAGGCAGTCTTGCAAACATCAGTGCTGAATGGATACAACAGTACACTTCACAAATTCAAGCTGCCCATCAACAAGCACAGGTTCAGGCGCAACCACAACTTTCTCCAGATCTCCGACGAGACCCAAGGATGATCGGACAACCACAGTCGACAGCGTATGCTGGCCAAGTGCAAGCCGCACAAGCGATAGTTCCCCCAACGGCAGTTCTACCTGGCCAGCCACTGCCTACGCAAAATCAACAAGCACCTCTCTCGAATCCAGTATATACTGGAGGACAACTCTCACCACGCGCAAGGGCTGCACAAGCCGGTCTCGGTGGCCCCCCTACATCAGCACCACGATCCTTACCACAGTCACAACTTCCACGGTTGACGACTAACGAAATGACTATACAACAGCCTCCTGCAACGCCAGCTGGAGTGCAACAATTACAACAAACACAGACGCAACAGCAGGACCAATCATCCCCCTCAATATATTTCCACCACTGGGTTCCCCCATCCTCGTCTTCACAAGAAAAGAGTTCGAGTGGAAATCCGCCAGCTACGCCTTCAGGTAAATACAAAACTTCGCCTGTTCACCAGTCACGGCAACGTGCAGCGTCGCATGCGTCTGACCTAGAGTACACCAGCTCCCCAAAAAAGCGCAAGGCTCAAGGCCCACATCAACCAGCACCACATCCTACATCGGCGCCAGGGTCTAACGCATCACCTTCTTTCTCGCACAAATCGTCGTCTTCGACATCGACACCAGGTCGGCGAGGCCACGCTCGAAACCGATCTGATGCATCCACGCGGGCGCCGGACGGCCCCAGCGGTTCGCTGAGTCGTAGAGGCACTATCTCCGGCCTTGCACACGAGACGATCGTGCGGCAAGGCGACATGGCAGAAGAAGCAAGAGACACAGATGGCAAAGCACACCCCAATGCAGACCAGGTGTACACAGCCCCGTCTCAAAGAAATGAGCAATCAGGACACAGTCAGCCAAGCTACGCGCCAGCATCTACGGCTGTTCAACCTGAAACCCAAAAATACGGGACACAGCAACAACAACATTGGGATCGCGGATATATGCAATCACCCAAACGGGAGGCTGGAGACCATTAGATTGGGAAATGGTTTCAGCAGCATTGCCATTTGAATCCGGATTGGTTACTATAAGGAATCTGTATCGGCCCTTCGAGAAGCACACCACCCTGGTCGCAAAGCGTTCATGGGGAATACGAGAGCGAGGGAAAGAACAGGAATCTGCGTCGCATTAATGATAATCACACCAGATCCGCTGCAGGGATGTTTGGCGCAAGGCTTTTTTTCCTTTCTCAGTCTCTTGCCAAGTTGGTATCATTTGCTAGCGAAATGAGGTCGACTCCACAGACTCTCAGAATCCGGGTTTTCCTTTCATCTCGAAATCTTAGTGCACGGGCCCTGACCCCCACCAAGGAACGACTTATCCCAGCTACTGTGAAATTGCGTTGCAATATCGTTCCCACAGCTACCAAGATTCGTCGCAATTTTACTCCAGAAAATTCTAGATGACTGGGGGATTCGCGAATCCGAGGTAGATACCGAAGACGTGGTAGTTCGTCTGTTTCGAGCATCGCTCCGATCCCGCAGGGCGCTCTGATCTGATTTTCTTTTTTGCCAATCGCATGCTGGTAATAACTGGCGTTTTATCGCAACGCATCAATACCGGTCAGGCCTTGGTATCACCCTTCAACAAGCATGCGATGCAACGGCAAAAAGCTCAATTGCCGGGCGGCGGATCTGTTGGCCATGAGACGGGTTGAGCCACGCAGCATTTCTGCACGTTCGCCTCCCCGCCTCCCGACTGTGCACTTCTTCTCTCAAAGGGAAAAAAATATGGGCCCCTGTCAGCGGTTGCTGCGCCTCGAGTCTTGTTTTTATGCCAGCTTACGACCCCGCATATCGCGGAGCATGCGACCGTATGCTTTGTGTCTACTAGGAAATGGACGAAATCAAATGTATACGTAAAAACGGACTGCTCTATGTGTCAGCCCTTGTTTATCTCGAATTTCTTTTATTAGTTGGACTCTGTTTTTTTCTCAAGATATTCCCCCGCGTTACTCAGCTTACTACATACTACTTCATCAGTCTGGTAGGCAGTAGCTCACGTGTATTCGGGATTCAACTACTACACATGGAATTTATGCGTACGGCGTTTTTCTCGGTCGCGCGTCAAATACAATTGGGTCATAGCCGTCAAACGCCGACCTTTGGCTTCCCCCCCAAAAAAGACGTCGTCATCTTTTCCTGTTTGGGCATCATCAATCTTACGATTTTATCGCGCTTCCATTGCACTGCGGTCGGCTCCGGAGTAACATCCCTGTATTATAACATCTTGCCCTTCCATGTTCTCTCTGTCTTCTCACATTCCTATCCCGCACCCTCGGCTGGTGGCTTGTGGGGTCAAGCCTACCCTGTCCTGGTGCTGGTGCTGTTGCACGTTTTGAACTGGGGCCTCCATTAGCTCTAGTTTTGGCAGGCGATTTGGACGAAACATACGATTCTAAAGCACATTTCTTGCCCTCGTATCGGGACTTGTTTTACATCCCGGTTCCTGGTTTTTCTCAGATTCACTCTTGAATGGCGGCATCTTTCTATCTCTGACACCCGTCAGTTTTCCTTAGTCTTATCGGGTGCACGAACATGTTGCACCACACTGACGGGAATGAGCAAATTCGGTCGGCGCAATTTATCCGTCTGCTTTGTACACAGTACATTGCGAGCATTGTCAACTATGTGGTATGCGGAATATATCACTCATCAGCATTCCTCAACTGTCATTTCCCCTGTTCTTTCATATATTGTTATGGGGCAGTTCGCATCGAGGCAACAACAACGCCAGCACCAACGGCAATGGAGACATGTGGTCAAAGCAAGTTGGTTTTATCCCATGTTCGACATTGTGCAAGCAGCCTTGTCAAACCCTCCTTGTCTCGACCAAACCTCCATTTCTCCCTTTTTTTTATTCCCGCCTCGCTATCACTCAGATTGTTCACATATACCCACCCTGGACCCTTGTTAGAATCAATTTCTTCCTAGATAGGCAAGCCTATGCATGACGACCCTTTTCTGTTCGCTTTTATTTTATTCTTTTTCCGGTTTAACGTTGAGGGCTATACCGGCTTGCCCCCTTCGCTATATCCATCTCTCTTTCTCTTTCTCTTCCGGATCTTTTTTTTTCGTTTTTGGCACTTGACCTAGTTTGTTGTTGGGGCCAACGCAAGAAAATATATGTGGGGCTATCAACTCGGAGGTTTTTCTACTTTGGTTCCCTGTATAGTTGTGCATATGCTTGATTACTTCTTTTTTTGACGTCCTTTATTCTCTTTTTATGCCTATTGCTTTTGTTCATTCTCTGCTTGCTTGCATGTCATGGATTAGTGGAGGTGGTAAGGGAGAGAGAGGGCAAGGGAGGGCAGAGTTTGAGCATTTTAGTGCAAGGGAGAGAGGAGGCACCTTGATTGGGTGACAGGCAGACAGCTTGGCTGTATGTGGCGACACTGGCTTGATAGACACCTTCCAATGGTACAAACTCTTTTAGACTCGGATGGATTCGCATCCGAGTCATTTTCATGACTACCATGTGTTACAATGAACATGCCCTGTTGACCGGAGAAAGAAGAAACTGAAAATCAGCAGATGTGAGAGAGATCAGCGCTTTAGCTTGTAACTTGGGTACCAAGGATCACTAGAGTTTGGTACGCAAGACTCCCCCACTCCTCCCCCTTCCCCCGCGTCCTAAACCTGTGTGATGGACGACGGCTATTGCCTTGAAATCTAGCAGCATCGTTATCGTCCTTTTTCTTTATTTTTTCTCTCTTTCCCTTTCTTCCTCTCTTTTTCCTGATGGAGTAACAGCCATACTATTTGGAAACCAAACTACTTTACCGCTTTCTTGGCCTCGTACGATGCCTTTAATCTCCAATCGAAGCCTAGTAAAAACTGAACCGCCCGCCACCGCCGTCGCTGTCTGTTGCCCCCTCCCTCCTTCACCGGTAATAAACAAAGTGACAGATATATGGGCGTTGACGTAGCCGAGACATGTCTGTGTTTATTACCAGGGTCGATTTCTCTTTCTCTTTGTGTCTTGGCTTCTTACTTGCGATGCGGTGAAGGAGTTATTGGGTACATTGACGGTTTTGGACCTAGTAAGTTGTGTGTCTTCAAGCGTGTATAATGGGGGTGGAGGCTTGAACACTGCATGCTTGCTGCATTGATTGGATTACATGGGGAAGCGGTGAATACGGAAATAGTAATCATTGTGTTTTACTTTTCTCCGCCGTTTTTGCTTTTCCCGGTGCTCAGATGGACTGGGGCATCAAGGGATGGGATGGGGGGCGGTGAGGGGTTCATGTGTAGCGAGATGGTGGAGAAGTGTGCTTGCGTCTACCTGCGTCTGCGTTTGCGTCTTGCCCTTTGCCAAGGGTAGGGGATGGGACAGAGACTAGGTGCGCTTTTACGGTGTCCGATATGCGATCGTGAGAGATGGGTGGATCTGGTGGTTGCGCTGTGCAGAGCTGAAACGTAAGGGAGTGGGGGATAAGCTGACTAGATTGGTATAGTAAGGGGGGGCGAATATGTGGAAGGAAGACTTGGAGATGTTGCTGTCGTTGGATTACAGGGTTGGAGTGGAGTAGCTGATTTGGAATATAGGGCTTCCGTTGTTTGCTTTTTTTCTATCTTGCATACTATGGGCGGCAACATCTCTTGGCAGGGAGGCCAAGGGATGGTCCGAATGATCATCAAGCAGGAAGGAGATATTGAGTAATCATGATTGTCAGAATAGACATATTGGGTAAGCTGAAGGAAGGGTTAGAGAAAGTCATGTGAATCTGATAGTCGCTAGTCATGGGTCAAGTTTTATGAGAACATACTTGGTTTACCAGAATTCAAGTGAACAAGTACCACACTATACATTAACAGTGTCTATCTATATGCCTGTATCCATGTTGGAGATCTGTATACACGCTACACGTTGTGTCCCTGCATCACACATGTTGTCGTACCCCTCTGCGTTGGGCTAGGTCCCACCACCAGCCACATCTCTGCCCCGCCTCGTGGCGCATTCGACCCCACCATCAGTGGTCCGTGATGCGGTAGGTGCAGCCTGACAGTTTGGCGTCACCGCAAACAACACTCACTTACGCTGCTGCCTGTAGCATCTCCACTTACCGATTCTCACCCCGACTGCGAAACCTATCCTCTATTCCGGGACCTTTGTAACGCGAATCCTCCAAAGCGCAAAGACTGGCAAACGTTGCTGCACATATAGACATCAACGTCATTGAGGCGCGCGGTAACGACGGACAGACAAGATGCAGATCAAGTAGGTTATGGGCGTAGTGACAAATGAAGCATGGGCGGGAATAAGCAGGACTGACATAAGCGGCAGAGTACGAACACTTACCGGCAAGGAGATTGAGCTCGACATCGAGGCCGACTACAAGGTACGCAATCCGTCGACCGACCTGCGCTGCGGCGAAACAATACCTATGTTGGAATGCCGGCACGAAGAGGTTGGAAACAGGTTGCAAGGAAAAAGAAGCTGACGGAAAGAATAGGTTTCGAGGATAAAGGAGCGTGTTGAAGAGAAGGAGGGTATTCCACCTGCCCAACAGCGTCTGATTTATGGCGGAAAGCAGATGTATGTTTCAGCACTTCCTTCCTCGTGAATTTGATACCTATTTCCTCGCCGGAAATTTTTGTTTGAATAGATGAAGCTAACACAACATTGTAGGAGCGACGACAAGACAGCAGCAGACTACCAGCTCGAGGGTGGTGCGACATTGCACTTGGTGCTTGCACTTCGTGGTGGATACTAAGTTCTCTTGGTCGACGATCGTGCATCTGCATTTCTGGTCTACCTGATTCATTTATCCTAGCCAAGGAGATGCTAAGATGTTACTTTGGAATTGATATGGCATGTTTGCTCTGCGTCATGGACATCGTCTGAATGATTCCTGGCGTGCATGGACGGGATCTTCAGTTGGCACTTTTAGGCGGAGGAATCAAGCCATGTGCGAGCAGGTAGTGCCGGGAATGCGAGAAATGTGCATTGTCTAGTTATTAGTGGCTAGGAAGGCAAGCAGATGCAGGCGTGGGTTATGATAGGGGTGACTTCCCTTTTTTTTGCATTGGTAAAGAGAATAGAAAACTGATTGAACTGGGCATTACGAATTTGTTTGAAGTCTTGTTTTCTACTTTGAAGTGGCATGGACTTTGTTCCTCAAATGAATGTTCGAATGACGAGAAGTGGAATTGTTAAGCTTGTCCTGCGTTTGTTACTCGAATGCTTCACATATGTTCTACGTCTAGCGTATCAACTTAGTCTTTCTCAGCAAAAAAAACAACAACCGCGATCAGCTTAGTAGCTTTCTCGCATGCGCTTAGGGTTGGACTCGCGGTTTTCTTATTCATTTCTCAACCCTGAGATTTGTTTCCATTTAAACAAGATACTGCCTAGGTCACTTCACTCCCTTTCTAGACCCCTTATGCATACCGATATTGTTACGACCAGTCCATTGGCACTCCAGACATCCCTTTTCTCTCTCTCTCTTTTCATTCCTGATATACAACCATGCAAAGAAACAAAATGTCAAACTATCGCCGCCCTCTCAATTTAACACAAACCCTAGAAAAATGGACAGGAGCGTTACCCATAGACCCATCCCACCATCTCTACTTACTAATAGTACTTTTATCCTAGAAATCCTTTGTCACTTACACCTCGACCTTAGCCTTTTTTTTTTCTTTAAAAACCCTAACTCCAACTCACTAGATTTTCTCATCTTTTACTTCTTTCACGTGCTGCAATTTTAGACCACCAATCGCACATGTCGTTGTGCAAATACACTAGTAACATAGGTTGCAGACGTATTTCAGTATCGTAGCGTAGTAGCACGTAAATACGTCGTGGATATAACTTGGGTTTTCCCCTTGCGCGTAGCAAAAACTTGTCTACAATCAATCTAGATTGCAATCTGATTCAATGTAGATTACCAATCCAACCCCAATTTGGAGAGGTCCAGGCTGAATTAAGATTGATTGTTAACAACTATCCAGGACGAATACTCCACTTTTCTCCCGTGGACTCAATACCCGCGATTAGAGTTTTGGGCTGTTATCTTATCTCGCTTGATCTGGATTGCACCTTGTTCTTGTGGGAATTAACAAGGTATCTTGAAGTATACAAATGAGAAAGTATATGTACATCGGTGTCGCGTAGGAGCGATTCTGGCGTATGCAGGGTGCGTTGTAGTTGGAAAAATATTCGTGCCAAGGACGTAACAGTACGGATATGCATGACCATACTATTCCCACTCCAAGGATGTGGTGGATTCACATATCCAACATCCCCCCCCCCTCTTTTTTTTTTTCAATACCGCTAAAACTCAATCTATCACATTAACCCAACTTTCTTCTCTTTTTTTTACCAACATAGTCGTGGGGTTGAGCCCATTTCACGCGGGAGATAGCGTACACAGAGAGAAAGAGAGAGCGCGTGGGAAGGTTATCCAGGCGGGAAAGTGTGAATGACATTTTAGCTCAATCTCCCCCCATCCAATAAGGCACCAGTAGTGACGTACTTACCCCCTTCCAAAAGAAGGAGAGGCTGGGGCTGGATCATGGCTGAATTTTGTGGCTTGGATTGGGTTTGAAAGTTCAAGGCTGGGGCTGAGCGAGGAAGGAGCGTGCGTGGGGGTGATGATGTAGTTGATTGTTGAGGCTAGACTAAACGCCCTGATATTTCAGAAAAAAATGTCGCGTGCGTGTGTGTGTGTGTGTTTGTGTTTGGGGGGGGGAGGGGGAGCGCCTAAAAGGACAGTCACATTCGTATGTGTATGTATGTGTGTGCGCTGCGTTAAGACAAGCTAAAGATTGTGAGTATGTGGGAAAGTTTAATTCTAGACACTAACTACCTAACTACGTCATAACCCAAGAAATATAAGAGATTTTAGCGTGTGTATAAATTATTATTGTGCACGAGCGTGTTTGGATCGGAGAGAGAGAGAGGGCTTTTGTTTGGAATTAATGAGGTGAAGAATTTATTGCTTATACAGTAATGTAACTCTCTGTGTAAGTATATTGCGACTTTGAGTTTTTGCGACGACTGGGTAAATGATGACATGGATAAGGCTTATTATCCATCAACTCGAAACATGGGCTGCTTGGTAAAACAAAGTAGAAGAAAAAGGAAGAAAGAAAAGAAGACGGGAGCAGTCACGAAGGAACTGGCAATATCGCGTACGTCTTGGGAACGCACTCGGAAAAAAAAGATATGTTGTGAACAAGATATAAAGTTTTTTTCTGGTTTAGAGAATAAAACATGTTGATATACAAAAAAAGCCCCTATGTGTGAACTGCCAAAGATATATCCCGAAAAAAAAACATATCCCAACCCGTCCTCCCTTCTCATTTGCCCTTTGAGATATTTTGTTCCATTCCCTTTTACGATAGTAAGAACGCCAAAAGGACAAAAAAAGGAGAGAATGTGGTTGATCGTCCTTTACTCAAGGAAAAATCAAAGTATCAATCGTCCTGTCCCATTCCCACCGAGAACCCCTTCCAGAGTGTCCCAAATCCGAACATCGTAATAGAAAACAAACACGCTAAATGAGCAAAGAAGAAAAGTATGTCAAAGAAAAAGAGGACATGAACAAAAGGGTAAGTTAAGAATATTCAAAAAGAAAAGGAAAAGGAAAAGAATCAACAATTGGTGAAAGAAAAGGGTATTTTGTGTTGTTTGTTTTGTTTTTCGATTTTAGTTTGTGCTTCCTCTTCGGCTTTCGGTGGGCGTGCTGGGGAAGCTAAAGTCGACTGGAGATGGGGGCGGGGCCGGGGTCTCGTTGAAACCCGAGGCGCGCGAGAGGTTGGCCGAGGCCTTGAAGGCGGCGCTGACGTCGTGGCCCAGGGTTGAGTTTGTGAAGATGGAGAGGCGCTTGCGGGGGTTGAAGGCGGTGCTTGATGAGGAGAGCATTTTGGCGGTGGTGTGTGTGTATGTGTGTGTGTGTATGTGTGTGTGTGTGTGTGTGGATGTGGTGTGGGTGTGTTGATGGGTTAAGAAGTAGTAATAGTAGGATGCGTTGTTTGGTAAAGACCCAGGATATGGTAATAGGTGGGAGTTTTGTAGTATTTTTGTTGCGATGAGGTGATTCAAGCTAGGGTTGACGTGTATGTGTGGGAAGGTGGCCAAAGTTATTTATATAGCAATGAGCCGTGTTGCTTTTGTGTGACGGCAAGGCTGAAGGGCCGGGATTGAATACGATGCGGGATTGGAAATCTAAAAAGGGGATGAGTCAGACGCTAATTGCCAAGGTGATTGCCAAAGGCTCGGGATGCGACACAGGGCTGAGATACGGTGGATGCGTTGGCGTGGAGGCGGATGCAGGGTTACACTCACGTTCTTGTTTGGATAGGTGGAAGCGAGGGTTATGTATTGGCAGCTAAGTATGGGGGTTGGCCAGGGGGTAGATTGTCCAACACAAGCGAGGGCGTCAATGGGATGACGTGTGTGTGTGTGTGTGTGTGTGTGTGTGTGTGAGTTTGTGTAAGGGAGAGGGAGTGAGATACGAGTCAGATAGTCAAGGGGGGGGAATGATTTGGCAGGACTGTGTAGTAGTAGTAGTGTAGAGATTGGCAATGACCGCGTGGAAGGGGGCGCTTCTCTTATACACAAGGCAAGGAGCAAAGTTCCGATAGGATTCACCGCTCAAGGGGACATTGGTCTGACTCGCATGACTAGTTGGGATTGCAGGGCCCTTTGGGACGGCAAGGACGCTTTGAGCTAAAAGCAAAAAAAAGGTCAGGACAAGAGTGTATCAGGACGTGAATCAAAGGGCGCTGGCAGCAGGCGGGGAAACGGATGGGTCGCGACAGGTAGCAAAGTCCAGGCCATGCCCTGACGGTGATCATGGCTGCAGGATTCGAGGCGAGGGCACAGGAGGTCCACCAGCCAAGATTGCTGTACCAGGAAAGTTTGCAAAGAATGGCGGCGAGCAAAGTGGTAGAGACGGGCCGAAGAAGCAAACCAATAAGTCGAGTGTAATTGTACACGGCGTGACGTGGGCGGTCCGGAGAGAGGGAGAGAATGGGATGTACGTTAGTTAGTTGGTTGGTTAGTACAGAGAGGAACAGCACACACACACATATTGTGAGAGCGACATAGTTGGGGGTGAGCTGGACTGGGTTTCCCTGGCGTAAGCATGGCGGCATCGACGGCAGCACGATGACTTCTCGTCGTCATGGCCGATAAGCCGTCCATCAGGGCATTAGGATGGGCGGACGGAGCAAGCCATGATGATTTTGTCTGACCGCTCCTCGGTTTGGAGCATGGATTCGGGGGATGCACCCACCCCACGCGAGGCTGGTGCTAAAGGGATGGGGGATGGGGTAAGTGGAGCTCCGGCCTCGATTCCCCGGATCCCAACGGCCTGGGATTCGCCCTCGTGCTTTTGCGCTGCCAAACAAGGCGTCGGCATTGTGCGTCCTTTGCGCGGTGGTGAAGCGACAGCCATGGGCATCCTGGCCCGGTTGCCGCAATAGCCAAACGAGGCATAATCAAATCACCCACCCGCGCCCTGGCCTCCCTATCGCATTCTTCGCTGACATCGGCCTTCGAGAAGGCTGCTTGGAACAAAACGCTCGAGCCGGGGGGTGTCTGGGGCGACGAGACAGATTATCCACTCTTCATTCATCCACCCCATCCATGACCTTTACGATCCCTCCGCCCCTGATCGGGCACGGTGACACGTCTCGCGACAAAATGGAGCGACTTGTGCCGGCCGTCTTGTCCCTGTTTAATGCCCCGACCAGGCACAAAGGCGTCATGTCATGCCAGAGGTCTCGACGAATCCATAATGCACAACCTTGGCCGCAATGCTCTGCTGTCTCATCCTGTGTCCGCATCATCCGAACCATCGATCTGCGACCTATCCGGCGATACACAAACTCGTCTTGCTTGCCTGTGCATCTTTCCCACCTCCGTCCCAAACCTTGCTCCTTGCTCTTTTCTTCTTCTTCTCTGTCTTATTTTATTTTTTGCGGCCTGATAGTCTTCTGCCCGCCAAGCCCATCTATTGTGCGCCGGATAGCGTGGTTCCATGGCTGCACGGCGAATGGGATGCGCTCGGGACTTGTGTCGTCGTCTTCCTAAGCCTAGGACTAACGCAACTCCGACATCACCTCATCTCTGCTACTATTACCAAGGGCCACCCATTAGCGCGCTGCCTCTGGCCCTAGTCGCCCTTCCCCGTCTTTGCTTTGCTGCTAACCCCCAATTCTGCAATTCCCCGCACTGCTTACCACTCTCGTCTGGGAGGCAGGTCAACCGTCTTCGCCTTGCCTTGCCTGTCTTTTTAGCCTAGTCGGGATACTACCAGCGACAACAACTCCCGCCATGGATCCATGTGCAACTTCGCTTGCCGGTCCCGCCTAATCCTCGTTTCCTATGCCCACACTGCTGCCACAAACAAGAATTGGCGGCTACGCGCGTATACGACCGTTTTCCGCGCGTCATCTTGCTCCTCCGTTGCCCGTCCTGTCCTGTCCTGTCCTGTCGCCATGCCTGTCTGCGTGAGGCCTTCTACATACCTGTCTCGCGCTCTTCCCTGTCCAACTGCACCTTGCCGGCGACAACTGCCCATTGCCTGACCGACACTTGATCAGACTTGACCGCAACTTTGCTCATAGCCCGCCTAACTAACAGTAAGGTTGGACAGAAAAAATTCATTCCGCGACGAGCGCCAGTGACTACTTGTCCTATCACCACCGCGCCTTCCCACCCAGCAATTGAGGCAACCACTCACACGCTTCCGTCCCTTCCCACTCTGAAACATAGCACCACGTCCCTCCCTCACATCCCTTCCCGACTCGGAAACGGCAGCTGCACTACCCGCACCGCTACCATCTTCTACCACCCTTTTTGACAACACCACTCGCTTCCCTCGCACCACTCTCACCCGAGCAATGATGCTGCCATACCCCCGATTGCAATAGGCAATAGCGCTGCTGACTAGCCGCCAGGCTACCATGTTTGCACTTGCGCGAATTTCGACTCACAAAGACTGATATCTGCATCTTGCTTGGCTCAACAAGTCGGTAGCACTATCCGAGCCTATACATGTCCTAACAACTCACCGTTGAGCCGATAATAGCCCAAGCGGGGGGGATGCGGAAAATGCCACCGTGTATGAATCCTGGTTAGGATGGGGGTGTGAAACGGACAAGGATAGTCTACAAAAAAAGGTTGAGAGTGTGGGGTAAAGAAAAAAGGGCCTTGGCTTGTTGATCGAGATCAGTACCAAAGTATATGCTCGACGTACGTGGACAGCTGCAACAGGTTTCCATTACGTGTATCGAAGGAGAGAGATGGACAGGGAAAAAAAGAGATAGAGGCCATCTTGCAGTGTACACCTGTACATGGTCATGATACCATGGTCCCATCAAGTTCCTCATTCGTCCTTCATACCCCAGTACCCCACTCGTTGTGCCTTTGGCACCGTCATCTTGAAATGCAAATCGTCTTCGTCCTCGCCGCTGGCAAGTGCGCTGTCGCCCTCGTCACGCTCAATATCGTACTCCTCTTCATCGCTGCCATGGCGGTACTTTGGCTTGTACAGATTGCGGTCAAACTCGTCGTCGTCGCTCATTTCATCTTCCGGGTAGTCATTAGCGTAGTAGTCTTCTGCATTCTCGTCTTCGTCATCCGTATCAAACTCTCGGTCGCTGCCCTCTTCGTTGTCCCACCAGTCTGCGTCCTCTTCGCCAATCACCAACAGTCCCACACTCCCGGTTGGCGCTGGTGCATCCGGCAGAACGGGCTCGCGCACATAGTGGTCGTAGACGTATTCGCTATCTACGTCCATGGCGTCCACGTCTGTAGCTTCGTTGTCGTGTGATGATAGCGCTGCGGCCTTTTCTGGATGACGCTCAGCAAACCGCTTCGCAGGGGCCTTGGGTTTGTATTTCGATGGTGATGTCGAGGGCAGGGGGATCTTGAGATTATCTATCTTCTCCACCTCTTTTGAAAGTGCCTCAAGTTTACGCACATCCTTTTCAGACGGCTCCGACACTTGCACCTGTCTCTGTATGCTTGACTTTGATGAATTCCGCAGTGCACTCCCCGCCCCAGGCCTCTTCCGCGGTCGTGATGGTAGGTCGAGTGCAGGCTCCGATGCCGGTGATTGTACTTGACCCCCAACCAAGTTACTCTCATCTCTGGAAGACTTTTGTTCCTCGACGAAATGTCTCTTTGCCCCGATTCTCGATACAGGGTCAAGGCGAAAACGCCTCTGGGCGGTTGGCGTCGGTGGGGCCGTGGCTACGTGAGCATCGTCGCCTGGCTTTGTGAGTCGCCGGAAGAAAAATTGAACTTCTGGCTCCGAGTTGAAGCCAGAGTCAAGGTTCTGGCTTTTCTGGCGCTTGACTTCGTGATCGATGCGCAGCGAGTCCACGGGCGCTTCAGTTCGTTTGCGCTTGACCGAGATGGTCTGCGGAGGCATATGCGACGACATGGCGGTTGTGCGTGTGTGAAGAGCAGTTGCCTTGGCGGGGATACGACCGAGTTTTGGCGTACTGTCTGTATAGAATCTTTTGGAGTTGAGCCAGCGCAGCGAATCGGAGGGGTAGGGCGGGGGTGGAGGTGACATCAAACCCTAGTAGCCATCCCACGCAGAGCAGAGCCCCACGCTAGCGTCGCGTCCGTGCTGCCCATCACCGCATCACCTGCTGTCGTTCCTTGACGTGCTCCTCACGCGCCGCCATCATGAGTCCATTCAGTGCTTGTATTGTTGCCTGATTATGTCTGCTCTTCTCACATCTACCTCGTGAACGTGTGCATATCCTTTCAAAACCCTCCGTACTTGTAGACTCGTTATCAAGACCTCCCTAACTCCGTATCTCAGCAGCTCCGCCCCCAGACGCTCGACAACACCGCGAGCGCGATACATATAGCAACACACCATGGAGCGCTTACGCCAGATGTTTAGGCGCGAAGAACCGGAGGCTTCGTATGAACCGCTACAAGGTGGCTCTGAGCGGCCTGATGGCGAGCATATCGATGCGGAGGAGCAGGCCTTCTCATGGACCGACTATGCCGTCTTCACTCTGCTGGGAGTCGCCATGCTATGGGCCTGGTAAGTCACTACACACTCCCACCACATGTACACGACTAACTCGCGCCTAGGAACATGTTTCTAGCAGCAGCACCGTACTTCCAGCGCCGCTTCGAGTCCAACGACAGCCTCCTCCGCAACTTCCAGTCCGGCATCCTCTCCGTCTCCACCGTAGGCAACCTAGGCTCCATGATTGTCCTGACCAAGCTACAAGCCCGTGCCAACTACCCCCGCCGTATCATCGCCTCGCTCACCCTCAACGCCATCGTCTTCACACTACTTGCTATATCTACCAAACTGTTCCTAGACGTATCCGTCGGCGTCTACTTTGCCTTCCTGATGGTCATGGTCATGATTGCCAGTCTGGCCACAGGTCTATGCCAAAACGGCGTTTTCGCCTACGTATCTGGGTTTGGACGGGAAGAATATACCCAGGGTATAATGTCCGGCCAAGGTGTCGCCGGTGTCCTCCCAGCCATCACCCAGATCATCTCCGTGCTCTCCGTCCCAAAGAAGCACCATGTTGACGGTGCGCCTCAAGAGTCCAGCACCTCTGCTTTTGTGTACTTCCTGACTGCCACCGCCGTCTCCGTCGCAACTCTCTTCGCCTTCTTCTACCTGCTCTCCAGAGACAGCTCCAAGCAGCGCCTGCTGCGCACATCCTACAACGAAGGCCCCGAATACGACGACACAGATCGTACCGAGCGCAAGAGCGTGCCCTTGACAAGGCTCCTCAGAAAGCTCTTCTGGCTCGCCGGCGCCATCTTCACTACCTTTGCAGTAACTATGTTCTTCCCCGTCTTCACACCCCAAGTCCTCAGTGTACGCGATCCAGCCACCGCACCTCGCCTCTTCCAACCCTCAGCTTTTATCCCCCTAGGCTTCTTCTTCTGGAACATTGGTGATCTCATCGGTCGTGTCGGACCGGCCTTGCCTGCTCTCCGTCTTACACATCGCCCACAGTTGCTATTCTTCCTGTCCGTTGCAAGAATCCTCTTCATCCCCTTGTATCTTCTCTGCAACATCGGCGGCAGAGGTGCGGCTATCCCCTCTGACTTCTTCTATCTGTTCATCGTGCAGCTGTTGTTTGGTATGACAAACGGTTTCCTGGGAAGTAACTGTATGATGGGCTTTGCTGAGTGGGTTGAACCCGATGAACTTGAGGCTGCAGGGGGTTTCATGTCGCTGAGTCTTGTGGGCGGATTGACGGCAGGAAGTTTTCTTAGTTTCTTTGCTGCGCAGTCTTCATGATTTAGAATGGACGGTGACGTTGTACATGCATTTCTTAGACAATCAAAGTTTTGTTCTTCAGACCAACATTCTTTGCCAACGTGAATCCCGACAATGCAAACGAGATATGATACCTAGACACGATTCCATTGCCGCGTCCTTTCTATTCAATCATTTCTTATTTTGGTGATAATACACACATATTTTTCTGTTCTTACAAAGCCCCAAGTTCCTTCAACTTGCTAATCATACCATCCACATCCTCCACTTTGATACCACCCTTTCTCGGCTCAGGCTCCGTAACTTTAACCGTCTTCAACCTAACCTCAGTATCCAGTCCATAATCACTTAGGCTCTTCTTCTCGAGCGGCTTCTTCTTCGCCTTCATGATGTTTGGTAAACTAGCATAGCGCGGCTCGTTGAGTCGTAGATCCGTTGTAATAACCATTGGCAGCTTGGCCTTGATCGTCTGCACACCGCCATCGACCTCCTGCACCACCTCGACGGATTGGTCCTTGATAGTGACTTTGGACGCTTGTGTGGCTTGCGGCCAGTTGAGCAGGCCCGCGAGCATTTGTCCTGTTTGGCCCGCGTCGTCGTCGATGGCTTGCTTGCCGAGGATGACAAGGTTGCTTTTTTGCTCCTCGACGACTTTGCGGAGGAGCTTTGCGACGCCGAGGGGCTCGAGGGCGTCTTTTTCTTCCACCACAACGTGGATGCCGCGGTCCGCGCCCATGGCCATGGCTGTGCGGAGGATGTCTTGCGATTTTGCGACGCCCGCGGAGAAGGCAACGATGTCTTCGACGGCGGGGGCGTTGGCGTGGTGCGCCTTCTTTTCGCGCATGCGGACCGCTTCCTCGATGGAGAGTTCGTCAAAGGGATTCATCGAGTGCTTGACATTTGCGGTTTCGACGGCGGTTTGCGTACGGTTTACCCGGGGTTTGACCTGTTGTTCCATATAAGTATTTGTTGCTTTCTTCTTCATATTGCCATGACACTGCGTCTGTAGAGTTCATCTCTTGTGCCGTTGCAACACATGCGAGGCTCGGGACTGGGCGCATTCTTCGGTGCTAAACTAAACATACCGCATAGTCAATGACCCGCTTGACGGGCACTAATATCCTCAAGCCAGACATTTTGTGATGTTTGGCGACTCTTCTACACTGCGGAAAACGCCAATTGTTGTAGGAAGAGTGCTGGTAATGATGTAGAAGAGCAAGGGTGGGGTGGATAGCATCGGGGTTGGCCCTGGGGTTCGCGGTGCTTAGCCGAGGCTTTTTCCGATGTCTGCGGGCGGCCTTGGCATGGTCGTGATATCATCTAGAGGGATAGTGTTTGGAAGTATAATTGTATTATGAACTAGAAGTCTTGTCTTGTGAGCTCCTGAGAATGATGCTTTTTTTTGTTTTCTCTTAATTTGAAATAGTCGTTGGATGAGAACTCTAGTTTTCTAAGAAATTTACAGTGAAGCGCCATGCCCTCAGAGGCGGAAAAGCACCATTGGGACGTCAAGTGAACTGATTTCACAGTATTCAAAAGCATGCTAGGGACCTGTTCCCACACATCACTTCTAACTCTTTAGAAGCTTTTTTCCCTTCCATTTTGAGCCATCAGCCCACTACGCCATTTGCAAACTGCTCACAGCTCGCACAGAATCCAAACGTCTGACTCGCGTTGTACTCCCAACACTGCTGTGTATACTCTGGTGAGCTAGTCCCACAACCATCACTCAAAAGAACGCAATCATACCCATGGCTAAAAGCATCTGTCAAAGTTCCGCCTACACACTGATCCGTGTTGACCCCAGTAAAAAACAGTGTCCTGATACCCTCTTGATCGAGAAACTCTTTCAGTGGAGTTGTGGCCCCCCATAAGCCGCTCATCCTATTCTTGTGAATCCAAACGTCGGGCCTACTATCAAGCTCCATACCCTCAAGGTACATGGCCTCAAGAGGCGGGTAGATTTCAGTGTTCCAAGTATTGCGCATGAGTAGACGGCCGCCAGAAACGCAGTATCCCTCTGAAACTGTAAGTGTCCCGCAGTCTGCGCCTATGCCACAGTACATTGACTTCCCCTCGTCTCCGTGGCGATTTACACTCACACTGCCTTCATGATACCCAAACGCATCATCTGCACTAAAGTCTGAATCCGCGGGAATAGCAAAAAATCCAAAAGCACGTTTGACTGCCGGCGGCATCTCTTTGAGTTCTTCTTCTGTAAGGCCCCAGTTCACCCAAACTACCCGGATGCCAGCCTTTCTTGCAGCTGGTATGGCATGTCTGGCAAGTTGTTCACAAGCAGCATGTCCAGCACTCTGTTGGTTGCGGCCAAAAGCTGAGGAGAGAAAGAAGTTTTGCATGTCAATTATGATAAGGGCGGATTTAGCGGGGTCAACCTTGATGGGCTGAGTTGATGTTTGGATTGTATAAGTAGGTCCGGAGATCGGCAAAGAGTGAGTAGATGGATGTGTAAGATCGAATCCCGACTGCGAAGTGTGAGACCAAAAGCTTGTGGATGATCCTATCAGGGCCCTGCGGTTGAGTTTGGTTGCAGTGTCGGAAGCCATAGCTGTGTCAAAAGTCGAAATTGTGGGATGTAGGGCACAAGTAGTTTTCGTCAAATATATATGCCTACAGGTTTGGGATGATTGTAAGTAGGAAGATAAAGCTGAACAAGAGCCTCTTGTATACTCAAATACCATGGCTGCTATCAGAGAGCCAGATAAGGAAGGCCAGTATCTCACTTGCAAAAGCGGGGTAAGCTTGTATAACCCCAGAGATAGAGATAGTGCATTGTCGATGATATTACTAAGAATTGTCTTCTTTATTAGACAAAGTGCAGTGACTAGAAATCAACTGGCCTTCAAGCCAGCCTGCTTCTATCTGACCCCAGCAAGCCGTTTCCTTGCAAGTTGAACGAGTCGTGGCCACTCTTCCTTTTGATTGGCTGCACTCGGGACTTCGAGTATTTGTCGCAGGTATTCCTTTGCTTGTTCGTGATCACCGTTTGAGTCGTGATAATCTGCAAGCTGCAGCATAGAAGGCTTATGGCCGGCATTAGATGCAGCCTCAAGCCATTCCCGCGCTAATGCTGCAGCGCTGCCAGGCTTCCATCCTAGCAGCCAATTGAGCGCTTTTCGTATGCCACCATCTTTGAGAATTGACAATTC